GAAATATATTTATGTTTGTGGTTGTAATGTGACAAAATATGGAAAAGTTCAAGGGGTATGAATACTTTTGCAAACCACTGTATCAAAGATTTATTGTCATCGCGATAATGGCCTGTGCAATAGGCATATCACAAAAACTGCATAAACTGCAATAAATGGTTGGCTCAAATGTTTGCTTTTATGAGTTTTGTCACTCAGATGGAAGCCCATCTCCAAATGGAGCCCTTCACAAATCTCTTTAAAAAATATCATGTTGGAATAGAAATGATTAGCTTTTTTGTTGTTTTTGCTCTGAACCAAGAACAGAAAGACATCAGCACTATATACTTATGCATTTGTTCATTTATCACAAGTCATATCGTCATCGCACTATTAAGAACTGTTATTGCACATCACATGTTTTCCTAATATCGTGCAGTCCTAACCAGCATCATCATCACCAATGTCATCTCTGTCTTCACTCACCGCCCTCACTACCTGCCTGGAGGAGATAAGGTTATGGATGAGTCAGGGCTTTCTTCAGTTAAACTGCTCTAAAGCCGAGGCCGTGCTAATCGGCACTCCTCACCAGGTTCAAACATCTTTATTAGGCAGAAGTTTAAACAAACTGTCAGGCACCGAAACAAGCCATGTTACAAAAGCAGCTTCCTCCATCCATTTATAATCTGTTTCACAATTACCTAAAACACGTTTTGTCAATTTTGAATATTTAATTTGAACCTCTTGTTAATTTGTTTGAACTGAGAGGAAAAGTCAACCAAACTCTGAGGAGAGGTGGAGGACGTGGCACTAAACCTGACTGAACCGTTCCCTGACATTTTGAGTTATCACTTAAAATTTTGTTACAATCTTGCTGAAGGTCTTGTTACACCTCTTTAAGAAAAGTAAACAGACTGTAGGATGAAATTAATAATTGGTGGTTAAAACGTAAGTACACATAGTTTCATATTTCTGTAGAACCAACAAATGGAGACAACTACAAAAATCTGACAGAGTATGGTTTTGTGTGCCATGTAAACCACACACACACACACACACACACACACACACACACACACAC